GGGCAGGGGGTGGTTGAGGTGGGGCGGGCTCCACCAGCCCTACAAGAAGCCGCCGTAGCCCAGTGGAGGGTGGCACATAGTGTCCATCCCACACCAAGTCACCCTGAGGATGCTCCCTCCTGCTCAGATGGTGGGACAGCAGCAGCCTGGCTTCAGCAAGAGGACACGGCTCCATGAGGCTCTTCTTGTCTGCGGCTTGTGCTGAAGGAGGTGGTGGCGGTGGAAGGGGCATTCTCTAGGCTCCTGAAGGTTGTGTGTCCTTCCCAATGCAGCTGAGCTTTCCAGTCAGCAAGAAGAATGGCAAATGTGCTTTCAGGGCCTTGGGTTCAGCTCCTGCCCATGTGGCAGCTGCCTGCCCTTTAGCACTGAGCTCTGCCCTACAGAGAGGGGTCACAGCTCATCATGAAGTCTGCCCAGATTTTTTCTCCAGGCACTGCTGACTTACTCCCCACTTCCTCTCAGAGAGCCTCCACCCCTGCACTCAACCCTATTTCTCGCTGGTCCTTTTGTCTCTTTACCATCCCATTCTTATCAGTGCAACCATCTCTTGTCCTGGTCTTTCCAGCCTGTTCCTCTTCTCCACCTTCTGCATCTCCCTCTACCTATTCTCTCCTTGTCTCCCCACTCCTAGGTTCTACCACACCTTCCTCAACCCTGCTGTGCCTGCCCCTCCTCTCTCTTCCTCAGCTCCTTTTCCCTTTCTTTCCTTCATCTTCTCCTCCTTCCCTCAAGCCTGCTAGGCAGAGCCTCCTCCAGGAAGGCAGGCTGATTAGCATTGCAAACACACAGAGGCCTCCTCAGCCCGACATAATTCTTCATTTGTCAGTCATGAATATTTCACACCTGCCTCGAGAGGGATTTATTCAGCATGGAAGAGTGGGGAGGGGGAGAAGGGAACACAGCACCAGCTGGGGCAGCACCAGCAGGGATGGAAAAGAGCTCTGCCCCAGAGGAACAGCATGCCCTGGGTCTCATCTTCACCCTTCTGGGTGCAGGACCCCAGCCTAGGACTCCCCCCAAGGCTGTTTCTGGGACTAGAGGGCAGGTCTGCACCCAACCTCATTTCTCACCCTCCACAATTTCCAGTGAGGCCCTCTAAAGCCCTGTTTTCCCTACCAAGAGTCATCAAGCCAGAAATAAAGTGTGAAAGCCTCTGGTCCTGGTTCTGCCCCAGAAATCCACTTTGCCCTGGGAGAGGGCAGCATTGAGGGATTTGCCAAAGCCAAGCCACAGGGGTCTTAGAAACTTCAGGCAGTCTTTCCACACTTTTTCCAAGAAAGGCTTTTAAGGTTTCATCATGCCTTGCCCTCCAGCAGGGCCACCAAGGAAAGAGAAGGGGTAGGACAGACCTAATCCAGAGCTCCATGCAATCAATGAGAGGAAGGTGGTGGGAGGTTTCTAGGTGATTGTAACCAGCTCCACATCAAGTTTTCACTGTATCAGAGGTTTCCCTGTGGCTGAAGTACTCCTTGTTCCCCCAAGAATAACTTTGCTTGTAGATTTGGGGAAAGAACAACCAGGGCATAAGGATGGTAGCAAGTATTTCTCTTAGGAGATCTATCTTGGTGAGCCTCACTTCTGTTTCTCAATAACTAGGAGAAATGATGGCCACTAGAAAGAGCAGGCCTTTGGTATATAACACATTCCCCTTTATGCACTTGACCCTGAAAAGCAGCTGAGAGACCACATTTGGGGAAGGGGAGGGGGACGTTGAAAAGAAGGAGGAATGGATTTTATGGGGCTGATTGGGTTGGGTTCTCTTTGGGGTATGTTCCCTCCCAAACTGGTATGAGCCTCTCATAAAATCACATCAGGGATGAATGAAAGGGAGCAGGAAAAACAGGGACAAGGACAGGAGAGACTGAGAGTTAAATTCCAACAAACTGGCACATACACAACAGGTGTTTGCTCAGAAAAATACAGTAAAATCATCATGCAAATAGAACATTAAATCTGCTTTCCTCCAACAGGGCTGGCACCACTTTGTGAGCCCTCATCCCTGGGGAGGGAGCAGGACAAAAAAGAAGGGAGGAGGAAGGAAGGTGAGACACTTTGTTCCCCTTCCTTGCCCTCTTCCTCCCTCAGAACAGTCCATCTTGTGCAAACTTCATCCTCTGGGTTGGAGTGGGGGGCTACAGCTGGGAGAGAAATGGCTTGTCCCTCCTATCCACTCCACCATATGAAAAAGAAGGGCCTGATGATAGCTGTATCCCTGACCTTTCTTTTCTGCCTCATTGGGGTGATGGGGGGAGGGAGCAGAAAACTTTTCAGGTTAACACTCCCTCCTAAATTATTGACTGCGCAGAATTGTTTACAAGATCAAACAGCAGAGAAGTACAGGGAGGGAAGAGGTAGGGACAGGAACAAGGCTTCATCTCCCTGTGCCTGTCATCCCCCTTCTCCTGTCATGTTCTGTGCCTTAGCCATTAGTCTTTTCTGCTTGGATGGTTGCCATGCTGGAAGACCACTGGGCCTGCTCTTTGTGGTAGCTAGAGAGGTCTCTGCTGTGCCCAAGCATCTCTCACAGCATTCACCTGTCTTGATTTGCTGCATTGTCTCAACATGGAGGGATGCCTGGCAGCAGTGATGTGACTTCCCTTCGTGACTTCCCTTCATCCTCCTGCGCACACACACACACACATACGTGTGCACACAGCCACCCTCCTCTGGGTTGGACTGTCCCTTACTGTGTGGAGTCAGTCTCATGAACACCTCTGGATTCAAGGCTAAGCAATGCTTTGAGTGTGGGGAAGCAGGCTGACAGTGAAGGAGTCTGAGGAAATAGGATCAGGACCTGGCCTAGAATTGTTAGCATTAGCATCTCTACAAGGAAGGAACTCCACAAATTTTCACAGGTTTAGACTTTGAGGATAGCCCCTCTGGTTTTCATGCACCTAGTGCTGCTCCTCGCTTACAGAAAGTGAAGTGATGTTACCTGTGGCATAGAAACCAGCTCTTACAGCTGGCAGTGCTGCTACCTAACAGATAACAGGCAAGTTCTCTGCATGCAGCATGGAAGTCCCTCCTAGAGAAGGTACTATACCCTCACCCATCTCCCAGGTCCCCAGAAATACTGGGGCTTCTGAAGAGCACCTCAAAGAGGAAATAATCACTCAGGGAGGGCCAACACAACACAGGCCATCACTCTCATCCTGGTAGAGGGGAACAACTATCAGGTGTTGGGCAGATCATGGAGAGGAGGCCCCCTGTGCTGCATAAAGGTGTGCTCACTAGACAGCACCCCTACCTGACAAGAAAACTTTGGGGGAGATGGTGCCAAGATTGTGCTTCGTTCGGCTGCACAGAAATGGGACTAGTTGGAGGGGGCAGTAGGCTCATTCCCAACTCTGTGGCAGATCTTCTATCCAAAGAACAGAGGTTGGGACCTAGCAAGTAAACTGCAGTTTTGCCAATACATGAAAGGATCCCTAAGAAAAGTTTGCCACAGCTAACTGTGAGGAGGTGGAAGATTTAGGAGGTGCTGTGTTGCTCTGACTCTCATGAGGGCCTCTAAGTAGTCAAAAGAACACTGTCATCCAGAGGCAGGTGTCCTCTTCTATCCTGGCACATGCAGTGTGGCTGCACACACACATTCGGTGCTTTTTCCAGGGCCATCCCTCTTGGGTGACTCCCAAACCCCATTCTCACATCCCATTTGTTTTCCGTGCTCCTGTCTTCATCCTGGGCTGTCTCCTATCCATGCCAGAATGTCCATGGCCTGTTCAAGAGGAAGACTCTTCATGAGGCCAACCCAGTGAGGTGAGCAACTGAAATCCTATTCTTCACATCCACCTGGAAGTGAGAAGGTTGAGTGATGCACACCTAGACACCTCACAGCCCATGGTGCAAGTCAGTTGGGAAGAGCTGCAGAAACTTCATGTTGAACTTGTTCTGCTGAGCTCCTCTCCAGGTCCTTTCCTCATAGTAAGGGGGACATGAACAGCCAGTATTAAACTTACTGCACAGGGGCAGCCTAAGCATAAGTGTGTATGGTTGGGAGAACCTCTGACCTGTGAAACTCGTGGAGAGACAGGATACCTTTACAGCTCTGAGACCAGACCTTCCTGCCTTTTCCTCCACCACTCCTTGAGGACCTGGCTTGCCATGCCAAAAGCACATTCATAACCCCTTTCACCCCACCAACTGGCAGAAAACTGGCTCTGATCAGGCCTGGAGAATGCCTGTCACTCCAGAGTTGCTGGTGTTAAGCAGCAGCAACATGGCAGAAGGGAAGGAGGAAGCACAGCAAGGGCACAGAGCCTGTTATATGGCAGGTTCTACCTCCCTTGGTCCTTCACATCTCCCCTCCTTCCTCTGAGGAGGATAGAGGTTCATGGAGTATCTAGACAGAAAGTGCAAGCCTAGGGAGCCTTAATCAAGAGGAGTAGGGAAGGGCAAAGAACAGTATCAAGAGAACTTCTTCCAACAAATCCCACCTGTTTTGGAAGGGGACAGGAGAGAGAGAAAAGCCTCCACTGCCAAAGGAAATGAGGGAAAAGTTAGTGCTGAAAAATTCGGAATAGCAGGTGTATCAGGTGGACAGGGAAGCCTTCTAGTCAAAGTCCTCCCCTCCCACCCAAAAGAAAAATCAGCCCACAACAGAAACAGAAAGAGGAATAGTTCACAGCTGAGTTTCATGCCCAGCGAGTGTCCATCCCTGCCCTTCCCCTGCCACCACTGCCACCTACTCCCGGGCCATTCCCACCCACCCACACTCCAGCGTTGTTACCACAGTGTCAGAGCAGGACGCTCCTCTCAATCATCTGCAGGCAGAACAATGGTCCCTGTAACACAGTAGAGACAATTCGGCATGTGTCTGTGTGTGTGTCTGTGTGTGTGAGAGTTTTCTGTTGTTGTTGTAAACTTTAAGAAAAGATTTTGTCAGTTTTGTATTTCTCAGGAGTATTTTGTTGGTGGTTTATTTTTCACAGTCAAGTGGCTTTTTTTTTCTGGTTGTTGGAGGGGGGTCTTGGTTTGTATTGTTTCCTTGTGAAGAAGAGTCACAGCTTCTGCTGAGCAGAGACTCCTTTCCAGTAATCCAGGATGTCATGCAGATCCTCGTCCTTGGCAAATTGAACTTTCTTCCGCAGGGCATGTCCAGCTGCCATGTAAACCTCCTCCCTGTGATGCTTCTTGTAAGGCCGAAATCGCTCCCAGATCTTGTGGGTGCTCTCTGATGAATACTCAGGGCTGGAGGAGTAGCCCGAGAAGTAGTGTCTGGGGGAGAGCTGGGAGTACGTGGAGTCTCGCTTGGACCGGGAGAGTGGCTTGAGGAATGACACCCGCTGGCTCAAGGTGTCAGCACTTTCCTCATAGTACAGGGCCGGGAAGGAGTGACGGTGCTCACTGCAATGGTAAGAAGGCTTGACCTCCAAGTGGTGGATGGCACTTGGAGACACCAAGGGAAGACGATCCAAAGGGCTGTTAAGTGGACTGCCCTTCTCAATGTATTTAGAGTCAGACTTGCTGAGTGGTGGGTGGTCAGGCACATCCAAGCTGAAGACCTTGGCGCTCTTGATGGAGCCACTAGAGGAGACACTGCAGGTCTTTCTGGCCACAGCAGCATCAGCACTGAGCTGGCGCTGCAAAGGGTGGTGGGAACTTTCCTTGTAGGGTGGGGAAAGAAAGCTGGGCCGCTCTAGCCCACTTGTGGAACCAGCTGGGATGGACTGGCACTCAAAGGCCATGTCTGAGTCAACACCAGTCCCACCACCCAGGAAGGATGCTGTGTCCAGCTTGAGGGCATCAATGCAGTTGTTGATGATCTGGTTGACCTTGTCTACCTCCTTGGCTATAGTAGAGATCTCAGCAGCTGAGCCTTGTCCATTGTCAAGCTCCCTCAAGTCCTCATCCCGCTGGGCTCTCTCCAGACCATCCCCACCACCAGTCCGTACCTCAATGTAGTTACCTTTAGTGGTGACTTTAGGAGTCTCCATTCCAGCTTCAATTGATTTTGATGGGGGCAACTTCTCCCCAATCATGGAAGGGATGGAGGACATCCGTGAGACAGGGATGACAGGTGGCTCACCCAGCTTCTGGGAAGGATGGACCATGGTGCTGGTATCAATGTCTGATCCATAACGCATTTCCAGAATGGTCTTCTTGACATTGAGGGACTTCTGTTTCTCCTCCTGCATCCTCCGCTTCCGCAAGCAGTAATACACCACCCCCAGGACAATGACCATCCCAAAGAGGCAACCCAGGGTGGTCATGATATAGTGGGTAGTGGTGGAAGTACTGGAAATAGGGTCCTCCCTGCCTTTGCTTCGGGTTGCAAAGGTCAGGCAAGTGTGGTTGTAACGCCTGTTGTTGCGGATAGAGGCTACACAGAAAGTATAATCAGTGTGGGCCTTCAACTTGTTGACAGTGACATATTCCTTCTTGCTCTTCAGTGTTGCTATATCAGAAACATAGCTGTTGTTGTATTGGACCAGCACATACATCTTACTGTAGGGCATGGGGATGGTTACCATCAGGATGGCTGAAGTGATGGTAACATCATGTAGCTTGATGCTGGGACTGAAGGAGGAGTCAGTGGTGGAGGAGGCTGGAGGCTTGACTGAGAGGAAGTCCCCAGGGCTGATGGCTGAGCCCTCATCCAGGTCTCGCTGTGAGTCAGGGGTATAAGGGGTGGGGTTGACCCTGGAGAGGGAGGGGATGGTGCCACCTCTGCACATGGACTGGAAGATGGTGATGGCATTGCGGTTGTGGTGAGGCCGAGGTACCAGGAGTGGATACCCAGCAAACTCCCGTGGAGTCTCGCACTGGAGGCGGTCATAGTTCTTGGTGACATTGTTGAAGAGAGCCAGCCAGTTAAGAAAGCTGTAGAGGCTACAGTCACAATTGAAGGGGTTGCCAGCCAGCTCACACACCATCAGATTGCTCAAGCTGGTGAAAGTGTTCCCCTCCAGACGACTGAGACGGTTAGATGACAGGTCAATGCTAATCAAGCTGGGACACTCAGAGAAGGCAGTAGGGGTGACCAGCTCAATCAGGTTGTGCTGCACAAAGAGGAACTGGAGACGGGCCATGCCCCGCAACATGCCCTCTGTCAGGTTGGTAAGCTTGTTGTAGCCCAGCTGTAAGACCTGAAGATTTGACTGGCCCATGAAAGCCCCATCCTCGATGTAGGAGATCTCATTCTTGGTCAGGTTCAAATCAGTCAGGTTGCCGAAGCGGTTGAGAGAGGAGTACAGCACCACTTTGAGCTTATTCTCATTCAGACGCAAGTCATGCACCGTGCTGTTGATATGCTGGGGGATGGTCTCATATGGGGGCTGGTTCTGGCTGCAGATTGCCAGCCACACATAACCTTTGTCCCCCTCAATAAGCCAGCAGTCACCTCGCACAGTGCCAGGGGAGAACAAGCAGAGCAGGGCAGCTGCCCACACCCCCAGACACAGCATGGTCTGCAGTGGTGCCCTCATCAGGATGGGGAGTGGGGGGACCAACCACAAACAATGCCAAATCTCAGGACCACAGCACAAGGAAACTAAAGGGCAGTAACTAGGGCTTAGCAACGGAAGGGCATGAGCATCCCAGTCCTATTGGGTGTAATCACCATTATTTCTTCTTGCCCTCTAGGTCAAACCAGGAGCATGGAGCAGGGGGAACACATGCAATCTACTTCCAGAACACCCAAAAGCTATGACCATGGATGTTTGGTCTGGAAGGGAACTACCCTGTGCTTCTTTTCTAAACAAAAATTCAAGCCAAGGATAATGAATCTCCTTTGATGCTCAAGAGCGACTCGCACACCTTTTCCACTTTTCTCCCTCCCAC